TTACCCTGTGATTTATAGTTTTCTTCCCAAGTTTAGAACAGTCCATTCTATCTTGTAGTTGTCTTGACTTCTCTACCATCTAGAAGTTCTGTAACTACATTTTTTCCCTCTTTTTGGTTTGTAGTTGTCCTCATTTGTCAAATGATGTCTTTGGTTCCCTGTTTACAATCTTGTAGGCTTATTTAGTTTGGATACTTCCATAGCTGGCTTGATTTCTGGGTTATGTCATCGTGTGTGTTAATGGTCAGTTGTTGTTTGCTGTTGTTGGTTCTCTGTCCAAAGGACTCCATTTAAGCATCTCTTGTAAGGTTGGTCTGGTTTTAACAAATTCCCTTAATTTCTGCTTATCTGGAAATGTCCCAATTTCACTATCGTATTTGAGGGACAGTTTTGCTGGATATATAATTCTTGGTTGGAAATTTTTCTCTTTCAGGGTTTTATGTATACCACCCATTGTCTTCTCTCCTGCATGGTTTCTGCCGAGAAATTCGAGCTTAGTCTTATTGGTTGCCCCTTGTAGGTAACTTTTTGTTTTTCTGTGCTGCTTTCATAATTCTTTGTCTTTGGTTTTGGTGAGTTTGATGATGATATGTCTTGGTGATTTTCTTTTGGGGCCTATCCTGTTTGGGGTTCATTGGACTTCCTGAATGGATATATTCTCATCTTTCATCATACCAGGAAAATTCTCTTCCATCCAATCTTTGACAATTTTCTTTGAGGTTTTATTTGTCTCTTCTTGTTCTGGAATTCTGATTACACATAGGTTATTCCTTTTGATGGTATCCCACATGAACCTTTGGCTTTCTTCATTTTGTTTTGATCTTTTTTCTGATTGATCCCTTTCCAAAGAAATGTTTAGATATTTGCCTTCAGTCTCACGAATTCTGTCTTCCATTGATGCAATTCTGTTCCTTTGCCTGCTCAGTGTCTTATCTATTTCTGAAAATTTAGTATTCATCTTCGGGATTTCTGTGTGTAGATTTTGTATTGGTTCTAATTTTTCATTTATTTTGTCATTTTGTTCTTGTATTGTCTTTCAACATTGTTCTAGAGTTTTCTCTGTGTTTTCCTCAATTTTGTCAGTGTTTTCCTTGATCTGTCTCTCAATCCATTGAAGGTGCCTAAATATAATTCTTTTGAGTTCCTTATCAGAGAGTTCCAGTGCTGCTTCTTCCTCAGGGATGTATTCTGGATCTGTATCCAGTCCTTTGTTTCTCCTGCTTTATCTTGCTTCTTTATATGGACTGTGATGGTGTATTGTCTCAGAGACATTGTGATGTTTTTGTGTTTATATGTGATTGTATGTTGGAGTGACTTGCCCACAATTTTTGTTTTCTTTGTCTGTCATCTACGTAAGCAGGGTACTGTGCTGTGCTTCTCTATTCGCTAGTTGACAGCACTTACACACTCACCCTGTCTCCTTTCTTGTTGTCAGCCTCTGTATGTCCCTGCCAGCCTTGGCAAACAGGGCCTATTCTTAGGTCCTTGGAATCCAAATGAGAATGCTATCACTTTAAAATCCGAAATGGCTGCCACTTGTAAACATTCAAAATGGCTGCATCCTCAGTCACTTTAAATATCCGAAATTGCCACCGCTTGTAAACAATAAAAATGGCTGCGCCCTCCAGACAGTGGAAAGTCCGCAGCTCAGGTTGTCTCCCTCCTTGCTGTTTCCCTTCCAAGTCACTGCAGCCCTTGGCTGCCAGGGCCTATCTTTAGGTCAATTCTCAGGTCCCAACACCACTTGGAAGTATGCAGGCTGTTGGTCCTGTCAGAGTTGCTGACAGTCCACTGCTCTGTCTCTGTACTCTCTGTTTCCGTTCAGGTTTTTCCACTAGTTGGTGCCTCATCCACTTCTGCATAGTTCCTTTCCAAGCTCAGGGCTCTGGGATTGTCTTCGGTGTCTCTGTCAATTGGTTTCTCTTTTCTTGGTTGAGGAGGGTCTGTGTGGCTTGTCTGCCTATTCCTCCATCTTACCAGAAGTTCCCCGTGAGTGTATTTTTGACTGTGTCCCATTTCCGCCTTATAGGAAGACCTTTGATCCTAGCAGTCATGTAAGATGCAGCTCCCTAATTAGATGCCAGCTGCCCTTGAGCCAATTCCAACTCATGGCAACCCCGCGTGTTGCACAGTAGCACTGCACTCCATGGAATTTTCATGGCTGTGATCTTTTGGAAGCAGATCACCAGGCCTTCCTTCCGAGGTGCCTCTAGGTAGATTTGCACCATCAGCATTTTGGTTAGTAGTTAAGTGCCTAAATCTTTGTGTCACCCAGAACCAAACACAACCCAATCCACGGCCATTTATTTGATTCCACCTCATTGCGACTCTTTAGGACAGGGTAAAACTGCCCCATACGGTTTCCAAGGCTGTAAATCTTTACAAAAGTAGACTGTCTCATCTTTCTCCCATGAAGCAGCCAGTAGAGTCAAACCACCAACTCTTGATTAGCAGCCAAATGCCTTACTCCCTGTACCACCAGAGCTCCTAATTAGTTACACATATAGCTGACATCAGCCTTCCCTCTTTGTCATTCTTTGGAGGAAACCCCAGGGCTGCATTCGGGAGGAATGTCCACAAGACCAGTACAGGGCAGAAAGGCTGATTTGAAACACTCCAGTATCTTGAGTTCTGGAAGAGAATTTGGTCTATTGAAGAGTAAGGAAGGTCTAAGTGAAGGGTCCTGAGAGGCCCTTGAGGTGATGGGCTGTCAGAGACACGTGACACACTGAGAAGCTTTGAGATCAGGTATTACCAGACTTCGCCCCTCATCTCAAGTCTGCCAGTCCTGGAGGAGTAGGAAGTGCTTAACCTCCTTTGGCCTTATCTTCCTTACATGTGGACAGGGAAGTTGAGTTTCTCTGTGAGGTTCAGTAGTCCATGACTGTAGATGAGTTTGCTTAGGTAGATAAATGGAAAGATCCAGGGGAAGGAAGGTTTTTTCAGTTCTTTTAAGTCCAGCCTTTTGTAACAGTTACGATTACCATTATTTCGGTAAGCCTTCATGTGGGGAAATGGCATCATTAGACACGTTGGCAAGGTCTCTGAGCCTCAGCTGAGGAGGAAGAAAGGGCAGCAGTACTGATGGTGTGCCCCCAGGAGAGATGGCTCTGGACCAGGGCAATGCCTGTTAGATGGCTTGGCTTCCTTTTGACTTAACACAAGCACAGTCTGTTTTCTGTGTTCTTGAGGCCTCTCCCCACCCCCACTGCATCTCTCCACCAGTCCAGCTCCTGTGTCACCTGTGAAACCCAGGACTGGGCTCTTGGCTAAAGCTTTTCTGACTGTTCTGGTTCATAGTAGTGGTCCCCTTCTGTTCTGCGTGCCATGCCGTGCAGCAGTCTTTTCCCCAGTATTTGCTGACGTGTAGTTCTTTGGTTCCCGGCACAAAAGTGTAGGTTACTTTGTTTGGTTCTTTTTATTATATAAATATATATATATATATATATTTATACATATATATATTGTCTAAGGCCCCAGCAAGCATGTAAGTTCCTTGATAAATACTGTTCTTTTTGTTTTGTGTCATTTTCTTTTTTCTGTAGACCTTTCATTGTTGAGGTTCCTCAGTGCTGAACTAACAAGAGGGTACTTCCTTGAACATAATGAGGCCAAGTATACAGAAAGAAGAGAAAGAGTATACACTTGTATGCGAATACCAAGAGAATTGGAAAAGGTACAACTTTTTTTTCATTACCAGACATCATTTGAAAGTGAATGTCAAAGTGTTAAATATGAGAAAAAAAAAAAAAAGCAAAAAGCCCTTAACAAAAAAAGCTTAAGTTTTTTTAAAAAAAATATTGGAAATCATCTGATCATAAATACCTATATTGGGGGAATAGGGAGTAGGAAAGGAGCTCTGGTGGTGCAGGGGTTAAGCCCTCAGCTGTTAACTGAAAGGTCAGTAGTTTGAACCCCAAGCTGCTGTGTGGGAAAGATGAGTCAGTCTGCTTCCATAAAGACTACAGGCTTGGAAACCCTATGGGGCAGTTCTGCCCTGTCATACAGTGTCACTATGAGTCGGAATTGACTTGACAGCAACAGGTATAAGGAGAAGGAATTCCCATGGAAAAGAAGGCATTAAAAATTTACCTTTTGGGCGTGAGAAGGATCCAGTGATACTAGTGTTGTTGTTAGTTGTCATTGAGTCAGTTCCTGCTCATCATAGCTTTGCTCCTTATTGAACTTATCACATTTCCCTTTGACCCCCATCCAAATAGCTCTTACCAAGGAGTTAATCTCCACTCAGTACTTAGCTCCCTTCAGTTTTATTTACTAGAAGCAAGTGGTTTTTTTTTCTCTCCCCTCTTCTGCATGAGAAATTATTTAATTTCAGCCCTTTTGTAAGATTTTAGTTTCTCAGAAAGCCCACATATTTAAATATATGAATGACAGTTTCATCAAAGAAAATTCTGATTTCTGCTTAACCTTTGTCAGCAAAAGCATCAAATTGAAGAGTAAATACAGCAACAGCAGCATGGAATCTTTATCTTTACATGTCATGTTCCCTTGACTGTGTCTTAGCCTCTCAAGAACCATCAGGCATGACAGGACAGCCCCACATATTCCTTTGTGTCGCTGGAGTACAGTTGGTGCATCTGAGCAATTCTGAAATTTCTTGCCAGAAGGAAAGAGTATAACTCAGCTTTAACTGTATGGAAACATCATGTTTTCATGCTTTTTATGGTAACATGAACTTCCTTAGAACCCTGCTTTTTATTAGAGGACATCAGAAGAATTGTGTTGGTTTGCTTTATCAGAGTGTTGTAGCAAGAGTGTGGCACACAGTGAGAAATACGGACCCAGCTGGTTTGGCTGATCTTTTATTTTTGGCAGTTTGAAGGAAAGAGGAGAGCCAAGTGTAGAGTGATGGTTTCTGGAACTTTGCTTAGCCTCAGTTCTTGGTGGAGCGTCACCGGCTGAGGCTTCAGGGAGTTCTGTATGAGGGTGAGATTTAGAGAGGGCGCGAGCCAGCAGATAGCCGAGAGAGAACACACGTGGTAATGAGACCGTTTGTCGCCTTTGACCAAGATTGTTAAGGGTGCCTAGTTGTTATTTTACTGCTGCTGCCAGAGTTCCATGGGGGAGCCTGGGGAGCTGCAAGGTGGGGTGGAAAAAGGGGCCCATCGTGGACCGGGACATCCCTCCATTGCACCCTCCCTGATCGGAGCTGCAGCTCTGTTTTCTGTAGGATGTTGTTCAGGAGGTTTGTGGGGGATGCTTCTAATGCTTGAGAAAAAAAAAAGCATAAATCAGTTATTAAGTTTTTTAAAAAAAGACTTTGAACTTGCTTTTCACAGCTTGATTTCTTCTTTCCAGTAATCAGCAGTGAGATGGAATGTGAGGACATAGGCAGAGCCAGGTGGCAGGGATCTTCTGTGGCCAGCAGCTCCTTGTGCAGGACAGTGCCAGCCATGTTCAGTTTTTACCTGCCCAGTCTCAGCCCTCCACACATGTGTGAGCAGCTCCAGGCCCCTGTTTTCTTCTGGGAGGTCATGGGAATTTACTTGCAACCTGCAGGGACAAGTGTATGGGCCCCGCCTGGGGACCACTTCAAAACAGGGAAGTGTTTGTGTGTGAGCAGTGATAGCATCCACTTTTAATGCTGTTTTCTCACCAGAGGCAGGTTTTTTATTTAAGAAAACAATTGGAAAAATATCAGCGTTTGTCCCCATACTAAGGGTAAATGTTATATAATGGAACTTTGGTTTCATCTATATTTATGTAAAATGTGTAACAGAAAAGTTGAATCTGTGTGAGTCCCTGGGTGGCACATATGGATAA